TTGAGGCAGCTACCTGCTGCATTTGGACAACTTTCAGCTCTCAAAACCCTGAGCCTTTCTGGAAACCAGCTTCGGACTGTGCCCACACAACTCTCTGGTCTTCGCCATTTGGATGTGGTAGATCTTTCAAAAAACCAGATCCAAAATGTCCCCGACACTGTGGGAGAACTGCAGGCTATCGAACTCAATTTAAATCAGAATCAGGTCTGGTAACTGAGATGTTGTGGGAATGTAGATTTAGGACTTAGTACAGCCATGGAACATAAGATGAGACCATCAAAACTTTACAGTTAAAAGATATCTCCTGGACACAACTCAAATGAGGAATCATAACTAGATTTTCTGTACCAATACATCAACTGCCTGATTTGATGAACAAAAAAATCCTGAATTTAGTCACGCAGAAAAATATTTGAACAGTTCTTGAGTAGGAATGTGATAAAGATATGTGTAGGTTGCTTGTCATCATGGAATAAAAAAAGTTATTTTGATTTTTGATAATTTGTTACTTATGCATTGCTTTTAAGTACTTGCTGTTAATGTACCTTATATTTACAATATGGTAGTTGTTCTGTGTAAGTGGGAGACAGATCACTTACTAATTATTGATCACTACCATTTTAATCCCATTTGTCTTTTCTTTTTATTTCACAAGATTTCCCAGATCTCGATGCAGATCTCCCACTGTCCACGCCTCAAAGTCTTGCGTTTAGAAGAAAATTGTCTAGAACTCAACATGCTGCCTCAGAGTATCCTCAGTGATTCCCAGATCTCACTGCTTGCAGTAGAAGGCAACCTTTTTGAAATCAAGAAACTCAGAGAACTGGAAGGTTATGACAAGGTTTGTGTTTTGTTTTGTTTTGGGGTATTTTGTCTTCTTTTAAGAAACTTCTGGTGAAGTCCTTACTCAGAATACTAAGCATTTATGCTGGTAAATAAAAGCACCAAATAGTCCGTTGGTGGTGTCACTGCTACTGGATTCATAACTAACCTCTGAAAACGTCTCCAGGAGTTCTTCACAGGTAATTTCCTTGTAGGATTCAGGGTCAGTGTTCTTTCATCAGCATCTTTTGAAGGGTAGCTAATAATGACAAGCGTGTCTTCACTTAGATGTGACAAAAAATAAAGGATGCTTTGAATTATACAGCATTCGTTAAGTATTTAATATTAGTTCATCCTTAACACTGGAGATCTGACCATTAATCTGAATTGCAGCAAATGCCAGAAATGTTTTGGGGGTGTCTTTGTTTGAAATTAAAGCTCTAATAGCTATGCCTGGCATTTAAAAATGTGCTTTATTGCAGACTGTTTTTGAGTCTGAGAGCAGAAGCTCAGCTGCTTTTAGAAGTTATGAATCATCTATTAATTTCTGAAAAAAATCATAGATTTTTTTTTTTGTCTGTAGTACATGGAACGGTTTACTGCTACAAAGAAGAAGTTTGCGTGATCACTATTCTGATCCTTATACTACTAATAAGAAGACTTAGACTAGAAGCATCTGCTTCACTGACTTGAACCAAGACCTATGAAGGAAACGATCAGAGTACTCCTTTTCTAGTAATCTGAAACAGCCTGTTAAGACCACATTGAATAAACTTGAACTGGAGAATATAGGTATTGAACTGATGAACCTGCCCAGGGGCCAGTTTTGATTTTTGTGCCACAATAGCTTTTAACACAGTACATGTTTTCCTTTGTCAGGGCTTGTTCTTTCACAGAGAAAGGGAACAAGCATTTCAAAGTTGCCAGTTCCCTTTTGTCAGGAAGCTGGCTGTTGATTTGTAAGAGGATTATTTCTTCTAGAAACATTTTTCCATGATAGCACATGGAAGCTCTACCACCAAAGCACTGTATGTCTTGCAGTAAGCACTGTTCTGCAGAGAACTTTTACAAATAAGGTTTTAGTTTATAACTTGTTTGTTTTTTTAATGAAGCACAAATAGTTGTGGTTAAGTTAAATGTTTCATTAACAGCTTCCAGTAAACAAATTGTGGTTTGAGCATCCTTAATTTATATTTTACTATACAGGCTTTCTTTTCCCATAAGCAAGAATTGCACTACAGTCCACTTTTGCTCGAGCTGTATAAAATAAAAATTAGGTTCATCTTCAGTGTATTCAGTAAATATGTATATTGCTAGAAAATATATCCTTGCACTGACTCCTTGTGTACAGAGCAATGCTGAAGGTTTTAGTCGTCAGCCCACTGCTGCTGCCTTATTACCAAAAGCACCTAGGAAGAGCTAAAAATGTATGCAATTATGTAACTTATACTGAAAAGGAAAATGTACTTGTATATTTTAGTAAATTATTTTCAAAAAATCAGTCCAAATTTTTTTGCTGTAACTGTTGTCATTTTATTTGGTAGTACTAAGATGTCACTGAAAGCCCTCACTTAGCTACTTGAGTCTGTCAGTTATTGGTAACAGCTACACTTCAACATTACACCCATAATTATGATTAGCAATAAGTGTTTCTTGTGTGAGATGCACAGAGAAGCATTTATTTCCCTGACCCTGTTGCCATTTTATTTCAGTTCTTACATAGCAATATGTAGTGTAGAAGAAGAGTGTTTTAGGGGACATCAGCTCCTTATTCAAAGGATGGATGTGATTGATCATTTAACAGGGAACCAGCTGTACTAAGATTCCCCATTCCAGCTATTCCATAGTAAAAAAACCTACTAGCTTCTTGACAGAAGCAGCTGACAGCTGACCATGCTTATGAGACTACTTTGTTTTGGGAGGCATAACCAGGGAAGTGCTTTAAGAACACTTATGTCTTACCATGATGCAAGGTCCTGTATAGTTAGAAATCTATTCAACTTCATACTAATAGATTCCACAGATTAGGACATGAAAATTGAATAGTGAATAAAGCCTTCACACATGTTCTAAATTTTAGCTCCTTCTGCTTGATACCTAAATCCCATTTAGCTTTTTTCTTTCTAGAGTTTTGCTGAGACATCAACAGAACAAATTAGCAGTTAGCAGATTCCCCCTTTGCATTCACCAAAGAAGTGGTCTACCATCAGTATGTACAAACTTGGCATTTTGGTTTAACAATTTTTTAACTGAAAGCATCTGTGCTCAAAGATGCTGCTTCTCTCATTTAACATGTGTTTATCAGGGGTCTTCTTTTCTATTCAGCAACAATGTGCAAGAAGAGATGCTAGAACAGAACCATTGAAAATTATGGAGTTAGAATTGCTATTAAAAAAATCTTACAATTGTGGGAAGAATTTCACTAAATCATTATTTCTTTTTTGTGATCACTAGTACATTTAGAAACCTTTCAATTGCTCATTGTTAGTCTCCTTTGCTGCCTTGGAGTTATGACAGGTATCAAGCTTTTTTAGAGCAAAATGGAGAAAGCGCCACATAAAATACTGATTGGAACCAAGTTAGTCCTAATTAACTAAACTTGTTCCAGAACAGAAGAAGACATATTTCTGTTGCAAGGAAAAATTAACTGACTGATGCCTTGCCTGTTTTAACTCACAGCAATGTACTGTGACTAAGTCACATAGTAGAATGCTGTTTTAGGCATTTCAGCACTCTAACCTATTAGTATTTTTATAATGGGACTTTGTGTTTTCTCTTCTCATCACCCCCACCCTGCAACAAACGAAGCTATAAACCAATTTTATTTCTGCGCACAATTTTGCTTGCAGCTTTTTAATTTTGGAATTACTGAGGTAGAACATTACCCTAGTTAACAATATAAACAATTTGTGTATTTTGTTTCAGACCTACATGCCTTGCTCTCTCATTTTCTACTGCAGTAAGATACACATTTCATCCATCTATTCCACCAGCATTTAGACACTGCATTGCTTCGAACGCAGCAAAGATGAATTAGCAACTGCAGGTCATTGTATGGGGTGAACAGCAAGTTGTTTCACCATACAGCATTCACAGAGGTGAGTTCTGCAAGCAGCTGCACAAGCAGCATGTCCTGCAGGTCATAATACAGTTACTGGTCTGCTAAAAAGCTGTCTTTCATCAAGGAGTAGACTAGCTTGAATTTACCAATTATTGTCGTTAAAGTGTGGAAATGGAATGAAATCTTGAAATCAGAGGACAGAGCTGAACAAACACTCCAGAAAGGCGATATGGTCAATTGAAACTGAAATCGAAAAATCCAGAAAATTTTAAATGGAGTGACTACAACCAATTGTACCAAGATGAAATTGGGTATAGGGAAATAGACCAAAAGTAGTGAAAATTATTCCCTTTGAAATCCCTAAAATCAGGAATGAAAGGGATACAAAGACACAGAAGAGAAACAGAAGAATTGAAATTGCAGGGGAAAAAAACCAACCTGACACCCATGGGACATGTGCTGCCTCCTCATAATAGTTATGTAAGCAGGCTGTCCCTACTTTCTTTTTCTGGTTACTGGTAGATATTAGATAGTATATTAGAAGTAACTCTTTCAAGCTGTTTCCAGGTATGCTAGTCTGTCTTGCAGGTCAGGAACTGTTGCAAGTCACAAAAGTCTCTACTTCCCCCATAGCTCCTCCCTGTTAAGAATGTTTTGGGAATCTGAAGCTGTGGTACTAGAGAAAATACAATTTAAATTGCCTCACAAATAAAATTGCTTTTGCAGTAGGCTAAATCTCTTCATTTAATCTACTGGACTAGTTATTTACTATGTATCTGTTAGCAATACTTAACTAGAAAATTTTAAATTATTTTACTTTGTTCCTTTATCATCTTCAAGTATACTCCCATGTATGTCACAGCCTTTCAAAGAAGAGATGGACACAGTTCATAGTCTGCATTTAGGAGATGATTATGCAGGAATCAAAACCAGAGTGTTAAAGACCACAATATTCCTCTCCTCCCAACCACACCTATTCTTTTTTTAACACCGGGATTTCTTGAAATAAAAATAGATGAGAACTTCCTAGTTGCATAATAGCAACTAGTTATGCCAAGTTTTTCAAGGACAGGAAACTAAACAAAGACATTTCTAGAGAAAATAGTTTTAAAACACATTCAGTTATAAAAGTATGTATTTTTTGTGCACAATATATAGTGTAACAATCAAAAGCAGAAACTGTAAACCTTCATTCTTAATAGCATTTAGACATACAAAGACGTGCAAGTGTTGATTTCATACCATAGATATGTAAATTAAGCATCTACTCTATAGACAACAGTAAGACATCCAAGAAGCAAACTGTTTTTGACTAATATAAAGGCACCAACTCCCTCACAGATTTGGCTCTTGCTGCATCAGAAAATAGCATTGATACTCAGATAATACTCAAGAGTCTCAGAAATTATTTTGTGTGGTATTCACTACAATATTACAGTTTTGATATACCAATCACAGCATTTTATCAGCCAGCATGCTCATTTATTGGTAGAGATTAGGCTAGTCAAGGACAAGAACAATGGCAAGGGAGAAAAACATTCTGATGTTTGGAATGTCCAAATGCTAAAGAGCAGGCTTGCACTGTGTAAGCAGAATAAGGTAACCACTTCAGTCTTCTGTTGCAGGAGACAATCATAATTAAATAACATATACTTTTGTTTTCACAACTAGCAGCAAATATTCATTAAGTTAATCTGAAGTTTTTAAGAAGGAAAAAAAGACATACAAAGTCTCTATGCAGGTGGCTGTTCGAAGTTTATTATGTAATGTTCTTAAAAGTACTTCTTTGCTACTTGCATTTTTAAGCACATTATCTTAATTTACTGAGTGGGTAGCTAGTGAGATTTTGAAATTCAGTAGCATTCCAACAATTACTGGAAGCTAGAGAGGAGCCAACCCACACTACTCAAGTATCTATTCCTCTAAAAATGACTTCACCTTATTCACATAAGGCAAACGACCACTGGCCTATTTTTGCATGCAGCTGCCCCATCCTTTGGTCAGTTGTTTAGGGTTTTTTTGTTTCGTTGGGTTTTTGTTTGGTGGGGGGTTGTGGGTTTTGTGCGTGTGGTTGTTGGTTTTGGTTCTTTTTTCTTTATCAAGTTGTACTGGGACCCAACTGAAAATATACTGGTAACACTGACTGTTATTTCTACTATTTAAAAAGAAAATGGAACACTTAAACACTGTCCTGCATTTTGGTGGATTAGTGTCATCTCTGACTCTGGGATTCAATATTAGTAGCCACAGGGCATTTGTGGACTGTCCTTCAAAAAAGCACCCCATAATGCTATTAAGTTTTAATTATTTGTCCGATCAATTTGGTTTGAAGATTTTTGCCATCCAACACTGAGTATCACAGGTTAGTCCAAAACATCATTTTCAACTTTAAAACAGGCATAATATACTGCTGGGTGGAGTTAAAATAACCTAAGTCACTTAGAATTTAATTATTATTAAGATTTCAAGAAAATCTTTTTATATTACAGTAAAACCAGACTATTTTTCTTCACAGGAGAGTGGTTTACCTCACCTGTAAGAACATTTTATTTGCAAGCAACTTGGACATATAATATTTCCAACTGCCAGTCCCAATGTCTTCAATAATAAACCAGTCAGGAATCTATTTAGAACTAGTTTATTTAGAACTAGCATACAGTTCATAAATAGCTATTGCTTCATCCAGGCTTGTGACAAAGAAGTTTCACAATAAGCTTCTCTGGTTTTGGTAGGGTTTAGAAGCACCCCCAAAGTCACTGCTGAGAGCAAACTCTGCACCAGATCTCAATCATTAATTTGCACTGGAGAAAGGCATAAACTGAACTCCAGTGAAAAGTGGCCAAAAGAGAGTAAGATATGGGAATGCAAGCAAGCTGCATGCTTTTCTACTCCGTTTCTTCCAGTTCAGATGCCTCATTCAAACACTTCAAAGTTAGCTTTTAGATGAGAGGTGTAAAATTTTCCATCAAATAAATACCTTAGGGAGATAGTTTTATTTTCTTCTACTTGTGTGCATGGGGCTTAGATCAGATATGTATATACACACAACAATATTATCAGAACAGTGCAGCATGATTAGTCATGGCCTCCAAACTGATGTCAATTTACAGTAAAGAAATGGAAACCTGTATATCCCTCTGGCTACCATTACCTTAAAGTTCATGTGGTTAGGAAGTGTTTTAAAGCCCTCAACCCACAAGTTGTAAGTAATGGGCCTCTTCAATTCTGTGATCCACAAATTCAACTCCAAACCAATCATGTGGTTTGGGTTGTAAAACTATGGTTAGATGCTAGAGATACAAATCAGACAACATTCACCTAGTCCCTATTTTAGTGAAGACACTCAACTTATGAGGTATTTCAAACAGTGCAAAGTGCCCTCTCCAACTTTCCACAGCTGTGAATTCAGGTTACCCTGCTTGTTCAACTTAAATAAAGGACTGAATTTCTAGTGCAGGGAAAAAAAAAAAAGAAACTGGGAAGAGAAATCAAACATGCAAGAAGATTCTCAAAGCCCTAACACTTTTAGCCCTGAGCAGTTTAAAGAAAGTGAAGGCAGATGAGTAGAAGGAAGTTGGCTGCTTTCTTGGAGTCAAGACCATGTTTACATGAAGCAATAAAAGATAACTAATCCCTACAGAAGGGGTACTGCTTCATTTGTCCCAGCCTCTCTTATTTCAGAATAGAAGTTTCACAGATCCATGAATATGGTGGCTTGCAGCTGGAGAGACTGTCATTGAACAATGACAACAGGCTTTAATTTTCAATTAGTTTCTTGGCTCTGATGTTTGCTTGCTCAATGCGTTCCCTGTTTGTATCGGCCTGAAAGAGAGAAATTCATAGGTCATTTGCAGACTCAATGCAAAACAATTTAAAAATTCAAACTGACATGAACTTCTGAATTGCAAGGTATCATCATTGTGGTAGAGAGAAGGGGAGCAACTTCTGTATGCTGGAAGTAATTTTTTTTCCCCTGGAGAGCATATGGTGTCAATTTTGGTAGAAACAACAAAGAGAAAAAGGTTTTACTCTTTAGCTGACTTTCAAAACACATCAGCTTTCCTCAGCTGGTAAGGAAGCATGTTAACAAAACAAGGGAATAAAAATTCTCTCCCAGTGTTTAGACATCTTATGAACCTCTACAGAGAAAAAAGGTTGCTCTGAACTAGAAGTAATAGTAAAACCTGGGCCTATGGGCGTGAAGTCAGATTTATTTTGTTTACTGCAAATCCATAATTTTCATTCACATCCCCTCCAATGTACTAGTGCTGTAACAATATGGTATTTTAAGAACAAGCTTTAGATTTTATTATTTTTTAAAGCATCAAAAGTCAGGTCACAGTATCTAGGTTGAACAAGTGTGAAAATACAGTTTTACTGAAAGGTATGATAAGGAGTTTGTAAGTAATTCCCCAATTATGCAGTGTCCTGTGGGGAATGTGCAGGAAGTGTAATATGCACAAAATCAGCCTCTGCCCTCACCATGAGTGGAACCCCTAAGAAGCTCAACCCGTGCCAAGTATTAGCACAGGTTTATGTGCCAAGTATTGGCCATTTCACCTTTGTCTTGAAATGGGCTGGGCAGAGCACACTTGCAGTTCAAGTCCCTCCCTCCCATTCCCTCCTTCCTGCCTTTCAGGTCAAGGGGAGGGGAGGGACAAAAGCCTGCTATGGAAAAGGGAGACTCTAATCTGTTAACAACACTTTGGAAATACTAATCTAGTTACTAGATCTTCTTCTAAGAAAAATCCAGTAATGTAAGTTTCATTATGGGTTTCTTCAGACCACGAGTCTTGCATAATACTACCCAAAGTCACCCAGTCAAGCCTATTTCCAAGGTGAATCAGAATTCTTTAAAAAATAGAAGTATCAATTATATTCTGAAGTTAAATTCTGTTTCTTTACATGATACTGTTGTTTGGAGATTTACAGACAACATTTGGTTTGGTTTCTGTACTGTTCACTACATTTAAGAAGTTATCAACATAGGATTAATTTAAATATCCTAAGACAAGTTGCCAGTCTCAAAGCCAGGAATTGCACTTTCATTTTTATTCTGGTCTGCAAAGCAATTCTAACTTGTATACACCCCATTTTAATTATTAGTAAGACTTGATCAGCAAGATTTATTCAAATCACTAAACCAAAGGAGCATCAGGCCAAAAGAGATGCTTGAATCTACTAGAAACACTATAACTAAAAACAGTAATTCCCACTAGCAGTTTATTTGACCAGGCAGTTTTCAGTCTGCTTTATAACTTATAAGAATTTCACACCTCATTTTAAATTCAAAGAAATTTTCTAGTGTACTTCCAAGTGTCTGACTTTTTTAACACGGTAATCAGATGTGCAGTTTCAGTGAACAGTTAATGCATCCTCCATATAATCATGTTGATTTGCCTTATCAATACTAAATTACTAGACAAAATTGAACTGTTGACACACATGCAACTGGCATTTTTGTCACATCAGAGGAATCCCATTCCTTTTTCGTTTAAGTCTACTGCAACATTTCAGTGAGATTTTTAAAATCCCATTTTGTCTTAATACTATAATTTCACAGTAATCAGTGTTTGCTTCTACTTTTTGAAGTCTCTAATACACACTATTCATTAAAGGTTTTTCTTCCTTTCTCAACCAGGATGCCTATAGAACAACTTCTACTCATTTCAGAATACAGACATTTCTAAAATAGACTTAGCATTCTCATTAAGCTTCCATTTGAAAGAAACCTCCCAAAATATATTCATATATGGTTAATCTGTTTGGAGAAGCTAACACTTAAATAACTAAATTATATATATAAAAGAAAGTTACTATAATTAACTTAATGTGCAGACCATTTCCCTATGCACCTACAAACTCCATTATTCTAGTCTCCCCAGGTCCAATATTAATTCATCCACAAGAATTAGGGCAATGAATAACTTGTGTTTTACTTTACATTCATTATAGTGACTTCCTAGGAATTTTGAAGGGCCTTGGTATTGTTAAAAATACTTATTCCCTATCACAAGGAAAAAAAATTCCTGCGAGTAACAATCCACCAGGTATAACTCCAGTAAATGTTTGTACTTTTGATCCCATGAAGTTTATTAGTTTTCAGAGTAAGTAGTCATGTGTGCTGTATATTTAGGTTTCCTGGCACTCAAGCATTTGAATTTTAAGCTATATACCCTGTATGGATCAAGGTGTATCTCTTGTTCAAATCACTGCAACCTCAAGGATAGCATAAACTTATCACGAATTTGCTGCAAATACAGTGAGTACATTCCTAATAACCTCTGAGTGACAACCTCTGAATTGAGAGCAGAGAACACCTTTGACGTTTACCTTTACATTTATCCGGTCTATTTGCTTATTCTGGGCATCAATCTCATTGCCCATATCCAAAGCCATGTTTTTCAAATTCCCAAGAATGTTTCCAACTTGAGCAAGATTTTCATCCATTTCATCTTCTCTGGCATCATTGGTTATCCTGTTCAAATAATTAAGACAATGTTTCAAGAATAAAGAACTTGCTTTTGTCTAGCATAGATTTACTCTAGTAAAACTTGACTGTTTGTTGCACTATGCATTCAAACCAAGGTAGGTTTTTCCCCCTTTTAAAACTCCCTGTACTTCAAGCAAGCATTCACCAAAAAAAAAAAAAAAAGTGCTAAGCTAGTCACTACTACAAAAATAGCCTAAAAAATTAAAATAGTTACCTGAAGTTTAAGACGCAAGTTTCTCTAAAATATACTTTATGACAATAATAGACCTTGATATTTTTAACAGTACCCTCAATAACTGAGTACTAAGCCTTACAGTTCTCACATCCAGAAACAGACTGACCATACCACCACTATGTAAAAAGAAAAAATGCAGGATGAGCACTACAATACTGAAGGTGTAGGTGTCTGCCATCACCTCTCCAAGACACAACAATTCCTCCAAACAATACTAAAATTTTCAATTTAGCAACCTGACCTAAAATGCATCTGTGAAAGAAGCTGACAACTAGTAACAGGATTTGTGCATTTGAGATTGAGGAATATGAGCTAGCAAACCTTGTAATATATCCACCACTTGGTCCTCCAGAAGTCTGAGGCTGCCGCTGATTTATACTTCTTGGCTGCATGGATATCACATGGTCTGCTGAGTTCTCTGTTCCATCTCCCCAGGTTGCTCTGTATGCTTTGCTGGCCTCAAAGTTCTTTGTCCTACTCCATAAAAATAAAAAATCTGAACCACTATATCAGAAATATAGCTTCCTGACTGAAATTCAGTATTAATCTAGAATTTTCATAAACATTTGTCTTGTGCCCAAAAGAGATGAAATTTTGTAGAGATAAAACTTTGTCTATATAATACAAGTTCTTGTATCTTGATAGTACAAACACAACTGAGTTACTCTAAGGACAGTGATGACTTTGGTCTTAAGCTTTAATAAAAGAACAGTAATTTGCTTAAAGCAATATTTAGCAGAGGACAGAAGGTTATGACAGTCACAAGAAAGCTTACCCTGTCATAAAACAGAATTGCACTTATAACTGGAATTAATCTAGAGACAAGATTAGTTACCTTTCAGGAAGAAATAAGAATGAATGCAAAAACTCACTCAAATAAATACCTATATTATGCAAGAAAACCATTAATTGCTACTATTTTTTTAAATCAAACATTAAAAAATTACTTGGCAACTGAAGAAGTTAATGTTTTTCATGTTAACTTTGATTATGAACTAACAGTAATCATGTTTAAGTAGTTCTTTCATTCTGCAATTCAATTGTACTAACTCCCTTAAATCAATAAGCCAACTTGGCATTATTCTTTTCCTATGTAAATCATAGGAGAAAAAAAAATAAAGAAAGCACACTGACACAAAGCAGTCTAAAGAATCACAGAACCACAAAAGCATGAGGAGAAGAAAACCTAGCAAAATAAACTTATCTATGGGTGTTTATGTATTCAATATGGGAAATTACATCTCATAGGTCACATCCTACAAGAAGTAATCTAAAATGAACATATTGAGGGGAAAAAATAGAATAATTTCGCTGTTAATAGTGGAAATATTGCACCCAACAAAACCCTGAAGAAACCTAAACTAGTCAATTCTAGCTCCTTGTACATACACAGGCCTAAAGATGTCTAAGTTTACTGCAACTAGATTGAGCATTGTATTTTGATCTCATTTATACTAAAGCCATAAATGGAAGAGATCTCTGTATGATTTGCTTCTGGAGGAACAAAGTCGTAGATGCCAGAGGCACATGTGAGGACTTCATTAACAAAAAACAAGGGACCTGGGGACTAGTTGCACCTGTGAATTAGACAGCCAGAAAAAGAATTACTGTTCAAAATAAGCCCAGTTAAGAAGAAAACATCTCACCACCTGCTTTTAAGAGCTGTTTTTCAAATTACTACACATTTCACATTTCTCAAGTTTCATTTCTGCAAAACTAAGGCAATTCACACAACCTATCAAACCAGCAATGGCTCAAGCAGTTGCTCACCATTTCCACAGCTAATAATACCCTCTGTAATAATGGACATTCTCTATTCATGTCAGTATTACAAAACATCACAATCACAAGGAGAACCACATGCAGACAGACATCATGCACATGCAAGCACAAATGCAATAGAACATCACTTCAGACAGCTGGTTAAATATGCATCTGCACTACTAACACTGACCTTGTCCTAAAATCCACTTTCACCAGTTTAAGTGAATACAGCTTCTTATCCTAGTCTTCATTTTTAGAAAGCAAGCATCAGTGTTAGGAAAGAATGGAGAAGAAAGTAGTACAGATCAACAAAAAGGTAAATTGTTAATAGTACATAGATTGTATAACAGTATTTTTTATTTTCACAAAGCTGTTATAAATAATCTAAACCTATGAGATATTAAAAAAAACCAGTAACTCCGCAAGTGTTCTGATTTAGCTTATATAGCTTTATGCTTTTATGAAAAATATGAAAAGCTGTGGAGGTAACTGACAAATAAATCTAACATTGAGAAAGGGTTGGTGTACCAGTAGATATATGAAAGACACTCACTCTTTGCTGCCTTCTACTTACCCATTTTTTTTCTATACATTACTGTCCAGTTTGGTACACAACTACTTCTGTTTTTGTTATCTGTGTACTTGGAGTGCCACAAGAGTTCACAAATTCTGAGCTTGTTTAGTGTCAATAAGCTGCTTAGCTTCAGTGAAATAAGACTATCAACTACAGAAAACAAAGACTGAGTGTGTCAAAATGCTCAAAGTCCACCAGCTTGAGCCAACTAATATATAGCAGTAAGCACATCTATCCAGAAGTCAGGACATCTGCATTTTCAAGGGACTAAAGCACTGAGACTTTCAGCCTTAGAAGTCACATTCACATCGATCCTAAATGACCCTCTAAGTGCTATTCTCTTAGTTAAACAGACTTAGCTACTCCAAGGAATATATACCTAAACTTCTGCTACTTCTCCATTGAATGATAATTGATTTTGTTCATGCTAAAGAGCAAAAACCAACAAATGCACGCACTGATCACTTCAGTCACTATACTCAATTTATGCCTCCATTTGGAAGGGTTATGATCACATCCAATTAACACACACAGTTTGGTACTTTACTACTTAAAGCGAGGACACCATCAGAAATAATTCTGACGTTGCTCAGGCTGTTTACTTGTTTAAAAGTACAAATCAAGTGTCATACTAAAGATTAGATTACTCAACTGATTTAGATATGGCAGCCATAAAACTGATGTTATAAAAGCAATGTGAAGCAGGTCTGCAAGAATTTACATAGTCACTAGTGAAAAGATTAAAGCTTTAACACCAGTGTCTGCTCTGTTCTCCTAGTCTCATTCTCCCTAAAGTATGAATAAGTTGTCTTGCTTTTAAATTAGTACAAAAGTATTTTGTGAAAAAATTATTTTTGGAAGCAAATTTCTAAGAGACAGGCACTTACATATAGCTATTTGCAGTTCAATTTGGCCTTATCTGCATGGATATCAATTATCTTCTACTAAATAGAAGCCTTAAATAGATTAGGCCAGAACTATGCAGGATGCTATATAGCAGCTATATTTACAGTAAAAGGGGCACAATGTTTGGTTAGATATAAGTTAACTTTAGTTTCTCTCATACAATTTTAAAAGGATGCAGCTCTACTTATCAAAACAATCCATTTTTGACATTCAGCATTTTTAATTAGCTCTTTAATTAGTTAATATTGGGAATATTCTGGAACTCTAGGCCCAAGTACCAGTATAACTGACCTGTTGCAAGGACAGACACAGAGCCCACAGCATTTGTTGAGCTCTGTCAGTGTCTTCTCAGCTTCTCTCATGTCCTTGTTTATCTGGTCCATGCCTTCTTCTATACGATTTAGTTGTTCTAGAAGAGAAACAGGTAACCTGACTAAACATGGACTGGGAGAAGTGGGCAAAATTAACATCTCTTTATAGCAGGAAGAAGTTTCGGTGCTATCTTTTTATAAAGACTATTGACTTTTTTCTTTCCTGCCTTCTAGGTTTTTTTTCTAATTTTTAAGAAAGATATTCAATGAGAAGTTTTGGTTACTACTTTGCAAATACCTTCCCCATCCTTAGAGCACCATTTCTATTGCTACTTTTAGAATAAATGCAGCTAGTTACATTCATGCCATAGTGAAAGAAAGCAGTTTCTGTAGCAGAGCTGTGTTACATTGTAACTATCATTACCTCTTAACTACTTTAAAACATATTTTAAACACTACAAATACCTAGGAATAACCAAGTAGGAAATCTCATTTTCACTTAAATAGTTTTTAATAATAAGCCTTTAGTTTCAGCAACAACTCTTCTATGATAGTTATTTTCTTACATTTGTTACATTCTAATGTTGATTTTTAGTGTTAGGGAAGAACTTACCTCCTTGCTCATCCAGCATGGTAATAGTTTTGATGCCAACATCCTGGGACTGCAGAAAGAAATTTAGTTGCACATATAAAATGAGACTGCAGTGCAAAATCAGAAGATCTGGATAGTAAATTTGATCAGCCAAGATTATAATACAACAAAATAATTTCTGTAGTAAAGCTATTAGAAGTCTCAAGTTACCAGCTATGTTAGTGTAACAGGTAAGGTGCTTATCAGCCTATCTCAATTAGTGGGGCTTTTATGGTATTTTTGTGAGGTTTTTCTTACATTACAAAAGATGATAAAATTTATTGTAATACTCAGATTGAACTGTGACAACATCTGGCTAGAAAAGCAAACCTAGCTGTGCTTCATTTTGAGAACCAGCATTTGGTTCATTCATCTCTACATCCTTCAAAAGGGCTTACAAGGCCTTTAGTCCTGGGAGCCAGAATCAAAGCAAGCAAAACAAAGCCTGCAAAATAATTTCTAAGAATTTAGCAGAGAGGAACATACTACAGCAGAGCTCTTTGCTGTAGTATAAGAGACAGTAAGACACTGACTGTAAGCTCAGTGTCTTGGATCTAGCATGCAAGTTGCACCCATGCTTTACTGTAAACTGGCAGCACAGAATGAATCAGGAAACTACGATGCCAAGAGAAATCATGTTGGCTCATGACATTTACTTAATGCTTGTGTGTGAAGGATTTATCAGGCTACAGTGATCAAATGCCTTACTGCTAACAGCTGCATCTTCAGCAACCAGAACTGTGCAGAGGAGTAGATTCCTCATACAACTTCACTTTGATAAACCCAAATACAGATTTGTTTCAAATAATGTAAAAGGGTGTTAAGAGTTTCCTTATCAGTTAAAACTGATGAGCAGATTGTAAGAAATATGTAGAATTACTTGTTTGAACCAAGAGCAGTCATACTCTACCACCCCCCCCAGCTGACCCCTACTGTCCTCAGTACTGAAACATTTCTAAACTGTTCACAGTGAGCTGAAATACAGACGAAAGATGTTATGAAAAGCAAATTTTTCAGCAGCCAAAGACGTAACTGACCATCAGAAGACTTTTTACAACTAATCTGTAACATTTGAAGATCAGATCCTTTTGCTTAAAACAGGTAAAAAGGATATTGATTCTTCTGTAATCTAATAGAATGTGAAAATCATGCAGGTTATGTCATTCTAATGCTACTACTCAATTAAGGCAGCAACTTCTAATGATGAAGTGTGTCTTGAGAAAGACAAAAAACTGTTTAAAATTAGTTACCATGACACTTTTTATACTTCATAAATCCAGAGAATTCAAAAGCTTTTTCTTACCTCAATGGCCAAGCCAAGAATCCTCCTTGTGCTTTCCAAAGACTAGAAAGAGAATTTTAAAATGAGTGCATTAATTACTTATACACACATTAGTATCTGAAAGTCTTCTCTGTCAGTTCATTGTAGTAAGGCAATAGTATACACCTTGTACACCAACAGTTCATCACCTGTTCTATATTTAATACATGCTACAACATATTGGCAGCACATTAGATTTTCTGTTTTTAGTCCTTGCTTTTATTTTTGTTATCCCATTGGAAAGTCTTAAAAAAGATTACATATTCAAATGAATTTTAGTTAAATAAGAAAGCCATGAAGTATCAATAGAATTACAATGCTGTAGGTAACCAAATTCTATCATATCAGTAATCACAACTGGCTGATCAGTACTCAGTAAAGTGACTTCAAAATTCAGCAGTTAAAACTCAATTCTTCTTTTTAGGAGTAGTCTTCACTCCAGTATTCACCAACTAAAGTGTAAACTTAAAACATTCAGCTATAACCTTGCAGAATCATTATCCTGGTCCGTATTTTTTTTAAAAGATATTCTGATCTTGTTAGGCAAATACTGTAATCCCAGATGTCTTCCTATAATATTTACCTCATCAGTGACCTGGTTGGCCCTCAGCTGAATTTCTTCAGGTGATAGCTCATCCATGATGAGGAAATACTACTTGTAAGGAATCACGTTAAAGAGAACCTTCCCCCTGTAACAACAGATACCAAGTAAGCATTAGAATTATCATTTCATCAGTATTTTGAGTTGGAAGTAGAAGATAGTTCAAAGAATGAGAGCCTATACATTTCATTCTGCATAGTAAAACATCTCATTAGGACTAGAAGACACTAAAATAATTATTCACCTGATGTGACCTAACTGAGGAGCTAAAAGAAATATAGGAACAATCAGTATATGAAGAACGTTTTTTTCCAAGATTTGGCTTCCTAAACATTTTTGAAAAAATTCTATGGTTAGTAAGGTAAAAAATAGGAAATAAGGTCTTAAAATAATAAACTTCTCTATGCTGGAGAAACACATTAGTTTGCCCAGTAATCTAGAAATAAATTTATTAAGACATTTAAGTTATTAGTAAAAACTTTAAGTGTTCTTTCCATTTCCATTGAAGAATTTAAATATCCGAAAAAGGAGAAACATTTTCACAGATAAAACACCACCTAAAATGATCCCAAGTAAGACTCTAGAAATGGTTGTTGTTATTGTATGGTGAATTCCTCAAATGCAAAAGGATCCACAAAGGTTTTAACTGGTATGTCTGAAACTGTAGCAAAGGTTTTCTGATCTATCTTTCTCATAATAAGCACAGGGTGATAACTGAGGTCCCAAGACACCATGATCTACCTTTTGTTAGAAACAGAAGATATATATATTGCCTAGAAGACAAGATGAATTAGCAATCCCATCAATAAGCGTATTCCTATCAGAGACAGGTTTTTCAGAGTTAAGAATCTGCATTTTTGTTGGAGGAATGGTAATAAAACCATCACTCCTAGCAATGGGAAAACAGAGCTCACAAGCTATACAAGAATTTAATGAGATAGCACATAAGCTGAGAAATAAGAGGATATCCCCCCCCCCAAATTTTCCCCCTTAATTTTAAATTACTCCTTGATCTTTCACATGAGTAGGTTGCAATTAAGTTCACGGTACTCATGGATATAATTCCAAACATCCTGCTTGACTTCACTAATTTTCCCCTACAAGATCAGTATTTTAGAATATCTAACAAAAGTAATTGCTCCTAGGAAGTTAAATTTATGCAGATTTGCCCAGCTGTTACCCCACAGCTCTTCAGAAGAAGTGTGCATTACTCTGATGGTGAACTGAAATCAAGACACCTAAATCCCTTACAGTTGAAGTACTTAAAGATTTAAAGAACATTCAGCAGGTTTGGTCTTCAGCACCTAGCATAGCCTGAGACTATGGCTCTAGGAGATTTCTGTAAAGTAGATGTCAGTGCATGTTAGCTTTTGGTATCATTAAATAAAAAAAAATTCAAGATATTCTCATACAAGGCCTCTAACTCTGTTTTCAGTAGTCCAATTTCAGTGTATAATCAGTAAATTATCTTTTCATTAACAGGCTTAAGCTCCTTTCCTCAGATAAGGTTTATCTGAGGCAGTCCCAGCTTTGAATTTGAGAACACTCTTCAAGCTGACTTGCACACCTAAGGACCAGTAAACCTGAGACAGGGAGGAAAGTACCTATTTTCACTGAATTAGATTAAGCAACATCTCTGGGCAACCTATTCCAGTGCTCAGTCATCTGCACCATGAAAAAGCTTTTCCTCATATTCAGGTGGAACTTCCTGTGCATCAGTTTCTGTCCTTTGCCTCTTGTCCTGTTGCTTGACACCACTGCAGAGCCTGGCTCCATCCTCTGACACCCTCCCTTGAGACACTGATAGACACTGATGAGGTCCCCTCTCCATGGTTTCTTCTCAAGGCTGAGCAGGCCCAGCTTCCTCAGCCTTTCCTGGTAAGAGAGATGCTCCAGTCTCTTAATTATCTTCCTAGCCCTTTGCTGGACCCACTCCAGGAGCTCCATGTCTCTCTTGTTCTGAGGAGCCCAGACCTGGACACAGCACTCCAGATATGCCCTCACCAGGGCTGAGCAGAGGGGCAGGATCACCTCTGACCTGCTGGCAGAGCTCTTCCTGATGAACTCCAGGTTCCCACTGGCCTTCTTGGCCACAAAGGGCACTGCTGGCTCAGTTGTTGTCCACCTGAACCCCCAGGTTCCTCCTGGCAGAGCTGCTCTCCAGCAGGTCAGCCCCAGCCTGTGCAGGACCCTGCACTTGCCTTTGTTGGATTTCTGACAGCTCTTCCCTGGCCATCTCTCCAGCCTGTTGAGGTCCTTCTCAAGGGCTGCACAGCCCTCCGGGGTACCAGCCACTCCTCCCAGCTTTGTGTCATCAGTGAACCAGTTCTAACAGCTGACAGACAGGCTTTGTGTTCACCTAGCTTGCTCACATCTTTATGAGTAGCTCCAGTGGCAGCCAGCAAGAAGTTCTATAGAAATGCACAGCATTCCACTCACTTTTGCCCTAATAGTATTTAGTCTTGACACTGTTTATAAATTGACCTAACAATCAAGAAATCCAGCTTCAAGATGTGGAGGAAAAACCCTTCCAACACAGCAGACAGAGGGAAAAAAAGTTACTTCCAGGATTTTTCAAAGCTGAGTTATGCATGTGCTTATCTTCTGATGCTCATATTTGGACACCTGCAGTGCTTTGCCTCTTGTGACATGAAACCATAATTTAAAGTGATGACTCATATAATTGTGAGGGTATGACCTGTGTGAGTAAGCTAAGTAAAACCATTCAGAACACTTGGTTAAGAGAAATGTTCTGACAACCTTTATCATAGATGAAGGGTCCAGCTATTTGCTGAGCTTTTCTGATAATTTCTTGAGGTCTTATGTCACTGAAAAGTGACAGAACATTTCTTTCTTTCAACTTCCTGGCAAACTTATCTGCCTTCACTTTTCAGACATTACCATTAGAGTATATAAAACAAGACATATTAAGATTTCCTTAAGACAGGTATAAGAAAGCATGCTCTTTGAATTAGTATGGTTATAATGTCTGTTTAAAGTTGAATATCCAAGCCAAATGCATTAGACTCCAAAACCCCATAGTTTTATTCCTGTTAGTTTGCAGCACTGCTTTTGCAAGCACAGGCACAACCTACATGGTACCTCTGCAGAGGCAATTAGTGCCATAAGGCAGAACAGAAAAACACATTCTCTAGGCAATAAAAACTTCTCACCACATGGCAGTTTAAAAAAAATTTAAAAAGCACACAACACTAATTTAAAACAAACAAAATATTTCCAAAATAGGCTGTTTCCAAAGACATGAATACAGACTCAATAGCTACAGGCTTAAGTGGAATAGTTGAACACAGCAGGTGCCCTTCATGCAAGATACCTCAAAAGAAATTTTAACAGCCAAGATGAGGCCATTTGTATTGAAGTAACTCAGCTGCTCCAACAGAGCACAATATACGTACATACAGAAAGGAGACTTGTTTACCCATCTTTCTGCCTAGGAATCAAAAAACATCCTTGGAGGTATCTTACTCCAATATTAATGGTATAGGAGAAAATTTATAAGGCATTAAGATTACTCAATAAAGACAAAATATACAGAGAGAAAAAACGTGATATGGTTAAGATAACATTTGTTACGATAATATTTGCTAAGGCAAGCATTTATTTTAACATTGATGCTCAATGTCTATTTTCTTCACCTTCCTTCCCCTACCATTTACAAAATCCTAGCCACAAAATAACCAAAGTAAAAAAAAACAACAGCCTATGAAGATATTTCATAATTATATCAATATTCTGCTATTTTTAATTTTCTTTCTAGATGGGCAAACTTTAAACAAGAATCTAAAGTACCTTAAGACAAAGCAGTACTCCTTTAAGGAAGGATGTGATGTCAGCTTTGTTTACTTTCTTTTATCAGTTTTCTGCAGTATTTGCTCAGTTGAACACATTTCAGTACAACTCCCCTTCTGCCCCTTTCAGAGGAAGGCCTGGTACTTGCAGAGTATGCAAAACTAAACTTGCTACAAAAATGTATTTTCTTGAGATAACTGGGCTCATTAAACCTTTCTACTAGGAAACAAATTACAACACATTCATTACCTTAACTATGACTGCCTTATAAAAAGGAAGATTGAGAAACCAGAGAAGCAAGGAAATAAACACATGGCCATCAAATTTTTACAGCTATGCTTTATTTGGGAGATTGTACAAGATAGAAAGAGTTCTTTGAAATTCCAATTCCAACCTGAAGCTTTAGATCTCTTTACAAGACTACTCATGTTGGGCTAAGTCATCCTGTAAGTTCACCACTATAATACATATCATAACTACAACATTGCTGCCCAAGCCAGTTGAGGATGGATTAAGCTTAAGTTACTTCTATCTCCTGGACAAGAGGAAACAAACTTATGTCTGCACAGCCTTTTTCCCACTTACTATCCATTTAGTCATGGCTCCAAAAACCCTGAAAAACTTTCAATTCACTCTCCTATGTGAAGTTCTTAGGTTGGAGAGGACTGAAAGACAAAACAAAGTTATTGCAAAATAATGAGGGACACAAGAAGCACTTTTGGGGTGATTTTATCATTGTCCATTCAAAGCATCACTGGTTTAGAGATCTTCATTTTGTTAATCAACACTCATAGAGCAGTGAAAGCATTTTAGTGGGTTCTTTGTCTAACTTGAGAAAGCTGGAAGGTGACAAACTGATGTGAGCTATGGCTTGGTCTCTATTAGCAGGAGGGTGATCCTGGGAAACTACAGTGCAAATTTTTCTTTGGGAAAAGCACTGCTGGCACTGCCACATTTGGGGTGGATTAGTCCCAAGCACTGAGTTCTGTCCCCAGCTACTGAACTGAGAGCTAACACCTGCCAAGGCAGAACTTTCATAGTGTGAGAGGAGCAAATTGAGTGTTAGGAACCCCCTTGGTGACCTGTCTGACCACGTCCCCAGGTTTAAGTACCCGCTTGTGATCAGAGAGCTACGGAAGCATCACTTCATCCAACAGCAGTTCACTGGCTGTTTTCCTGACAATAGGCACATTAAAAACTTTGGGGGGGAGGTAATAAAGCATTTAAATGGAAAGACCCTCAAGACTTAAAGCACTGCTGTATGCAGCCAGCAACAACATGATCACCTCTGCCACCCACCTTCCCAGAGCACACTGTAGAAAATTAACATAAAATCTTTTTTTGTTGTCTCTCTCATGGGCCTAAAATACCCCACTGCACCACTAAGAGTTTTCCTTGCAAGTATTTTCATTTCCATTCAGAATTACTTGCCAACTGGAAGCCAGTTATTTATACCAATACACTCAGCTTCCAATGCAGACAAGTTTCAGAAGCCATTACAACAGTGACTTTGCACAGCATTTTTAAGGTTTTTTTCAATACCAATAATCTTCTGGGATTTATAAGACACTTCCATAGTAATGAAAGCTATAGTAGGCAAGTTACATTATTTAAATATGCTCTTCTTCAGCACTTAGCTGAGAAGCAATTCTAATGCTTATTTGTCATTGTCTCTAGGAAAAAAGGAAACTTAATTCCTTGCTTTATGACCACCACAACACATGAAGGCTGTGCTGTCCAGAATACTCAAAACCCTTACTGATCTTTATGAATTTAAATTAATTGCAGGGTGCCACAATGCTGATAAAGTGCTTGTTCAACTCCAGTTACACTGTCCACATCTGGGAGAGGCTGACAAAAGCGACAAGTTTCCTGAAGCCAGACAGCTCTACTTGCACCAGATCAATATTGTTTGATTGCTGGCACGTTTACAAACCCACTCCAAATAAGATTTTTGTTTTGCATCTCTGGCTGGCAAGAAGCAGTTTTGTACCTCTGATAGGCTTAATTCCTTTCAGAATTTTGAATGCAATTCAGAAATGGATATAACCATTACATTTGCTACATATCAAACTACTTCCTTACTCAGTATCTGAAGGTCCTCTATTTGCACATACCCCTTTTCCTGTGAAGTTATGCTTTTAATCAATTTCACAAACTTGCCTTCCTCTTTCACTGATAACTTGTAAACTGGGGGGGGAGGGGGGGGAAGGAAAGAGCCTATCTGGTGCATCTACAAGTATAATTGAGAAATACAGCTTATGCCCTCTTACCACAAAGATAGGAACTAGCTGCTGATACAACCCAGCTGTTGCAGCAACTGACTGGAAGCCAGTATCTCATGAGATGTATTTTTAGTTGCCAGTGAATTTGTACAGCCTCAGGTGATTGCAGATGCTCTCAGTTCCTTCTCTTGTAAAGGGAGCTGTTGCCTTTCCCCAAAAGATGGAAAAATTAATGAAACAATATTCTTAGATATGTGAATGTTAAGTATGAATTTCCTGTGCATACTCACAAAGATCAAAATTAGACATCTTTGTGTTTAGTGATGGAGTTTTTTTGTTCTCTCAAATTCTTCGTATCACTAATACAGAAAAGTTGGGTTTTTAAAACCCTTCCTTAACACAAACACCTATCCTACTTGCTAGTTAGCTGAAATTCAGCCCAGCTATTACAGGGTGGCAGAAGGCATCAGCACCAGAAATTATTATGTCTACAAGATAAATGAATAAAGCATCTGTGGCCCTGGAGGAAGAGGCCAGGGCCCAGGACCAAGACACTACTCTGCATGCTTCCTGCTTTCCCTTATCAGCTTCCTGAACACACTGCACAGAGGCGATAGCACAAAGAATAGGCGCTACCAATGCCACCTCCTCTGTGCGCTGTGCTCAGTTCTACTCTCACCTCAGCAATTCATTTTTGCCCCTGAAAAAGCCTCATGAAACCTCCTCCAAATCACATACTGACCAATACAAATTCACAGTCCAACTTTGATCATTTACTAAGTTACAGACTCCATTTCTCCTAAAGACACAAGCTGTGCTATATAATTGTGCCCCTACTTCAAAAACTGCGGAGTGGAGGAGGTCAGGCATATAGACTGGCTACTAGACTGCCAGTAAGCAAGAAAGTGCTCAATTGCATCAATCAAGCAAGCAGTTGATATCACAGGTAGCTTTGCCTTTGTCCCTAAACACCTTCCTACATAGGAACATAGCTGTTCCCTCTACAGTACAGAATCACGTTTGTTTATGAAGGGGAAGTAAAATAACACCCTTAGTTCTAAAGACTGAGCATCTAGTAACCTTTTTCAGAGAACAAAACAAAAAGTAAGGCAAATAGTTAGAGAGGTTGCATAAAGAAATTTCCCAAGTTCCCTTAGATCGTTTACTTAGAGTGTCATGTGCTAACTTCACATTAAGTGAAACAGAAAGAGAAAAAAAGTGAAAAAATAGAAAAATAAAAGTGACTCATTAGTAGCTTCCCAGAAGCACCAAGGGCATCGAGAGGTACAAGAGAAAGAAGCACAAGAAGCACTTCGATTCTTATTGTTCACTACATAAACACTACAGCATTTTACACAGATTAGTCTAAAAGCAGCAGGACACAATACATAAGCTTAATAAGAAGCAACAAGAGGTGGGTTTTCTCCTGGGCCCTACTAACAGCGCAATTCACGGGCTCTCACCAAGCAAATAAAAACCACCTGGACATGGCATTGCCGCCCCTGCTACGGGCGAGCCCCCGAGGCCTCTTCGCACACGGGGGCGGGCGCAGCCCACAGCTGAGGCGGAGGCTCGGAGGACCGGGGCCCGGCGCCCCGCGCAGCCGATACAGGACGGCAACCGCGGCGGGCCAGGCCCGCCTGGCCCCACTGAGGCCCCCGGCAGCCACAGCCACAGCCCGCCCGCACAGGGCGGTACGCGGCACGGAGGAAGACGCGAACCGGATCAGTCAGCCTGCCGCCTCACCCGGGGCGCTGCGAGCTGCCAAAGCCCAGCCCGTCACACACCTACCGGCACAGCCACAGCCGCCGCCGCCGCCGCTCCCTTACGCCGGGCCGGGCCGTCCCTTTAGGCTCCCATGTCCCGCCCGTCCCCGCTGCCGAGCCCCGGCCCGCACGCGTCACCGCCGCCCCCGGAAGCGGGGCCGGGCCCGCCCCGCTCCTCCGCCACTCCCAAGGTGGCGGCGGGAAGGAACCGCCCCCGGCGCCCTCGCACCGGCCGGAACACAGGCCTGTGTACAGCCGGCATGGCGCCATGCGAGAGTGCTGCGCCTCCTTCCCTCCCCGTTGAAGAGTGGGGGGTCTCAGTGCCGGGTGTGGGTGTGCATGTGGTCGCCCGCGGTCCCGCTGTGCTTACTGGAGCTGCGGCAGGAAACAACGCAGTACAGAAGTGGCCCTATTTGTATCGGTGGGGTTTTTCTCCAGTTAACTCTCTACTAGGACGATGAGTGTCAGCGCCCTTCTGCCACCAGCGGAGAGGAGAGCAGAAAGGGAAAGCTGCTCCTCGCTATCACTGACCTTATCCTTTGCAGCTGAACCGCGCAGCCTTTCCTGAGATATATTCCTTCTCAGGTGTGGATAAGTTCTTCCCTGAGGCTGCTGTCGGGCTGTAAGCACTGAAAGCACACCCGGTAGCTTTCACAGCATCAGGTCCTGCATCCAAAGCCCCTCTTCCAGTGGAACTGCTGCTGCGATCTCAGAGCTTGGGTCTTGGTTTCCCCCGCCTCTCTCAGTATCTCGGGATGCTCCAAGTCCCTGTGGACTTTGGCCTCGTGAAAGGTCCCGGTCAGTAAGGCTTACTGCAGACCTCACAACCCGCGCCGTTCTCCTCCTGCTTTAAAAATCGCCTCTGGAGCAATTTCCCAGTCACGGCCACCCTGGCAGGCGTGATGTCCACGGCATCTCGCTGCTGAGGTACCCGCCGTCTGCAGCGTCTGATTTGTAGAACGGTAACACGTAGCACTATGCGTGTTTAAAGCGCTGTGTTTAGACATAACTACAATAATCTCCATTTTCATTATCTGTTGGTAAATGCCCCCAGCTGGCCGGTGCTGGTGCCCTCGCCATGAAGTTCGTTCGCCTGTCGGCTGTCCACGATGGTCCCGCCGCCGCCAGGACTGCATTTCCCGGCAGCCCCCGCGGGCACGCAGGCGTGCCGTCCAGCGTGCAGCGCGGCCGCGTCCCGCCGGCCCATTGGTGGGCTGCGCTGTGCCCCCGCCAAACCGCGCGCGCTCTTGCGGGGTGGGCCCGGTGCGGTCGCCGTGCGGGCGGCCGGACCCGGGGCGCTGCTGGCCGGGCCTCCTCGGTCCCACAGGGGAATGGGCTGCCGGGCCGCTGGCCTGGGCAGGGGTGCGATCCGTGAGTACCGGGGCTCTACGGAGCAGAGGGCTTGGGGAGAGCGGTGGCAGCTGGGGGCGATGGGGGCTGCTCCGGCTCTGGCGGAGTGGGCGGCCTGTGGAGGGCAGCAGGGTGAGCCCGGCCGAGGGGGGCTGCGGCTGCGGGCTCCTCGCCTTGGGGCGGGCATGCGCTTCGCTTTGCCTTGTGAGCATCCCCGATTGCTGTAGGGATCCCTGCACTTTGATGCCCTGCTGGAGAACAGCTTGGGGTGGAGGACTCTCTGTCCCAGGTGTGCAGCTGCCCTGCTGCCTCTTCGTGCTTGCCAGGAGTGTTTCCGGGGATGAAGTGTAACTGAGTGCAGAGTTGCTTAGTTGCCTTCCTCATAAGTCAATATCTAAAAATGTGTTGTAGTGAAAGCATGCATGAGTTTAGTGGTAAATATCTGCTAACTTAAAAGGAGTGGGACTGACAGCGTGAAACAAGTCATAATAGTATGATGAAATATGAGGTATTTGTAAGCAATCATTCATCATTGCACACAGGGTAGTTGAAATCCAAATTTATATTAAGAACTGCTCGGGGGTGCATGTGAATGTCAATTCGCAAAAGTTTATGAAACCTTGGATACAAGTAGCACTCATGAAGCATTGAAGTTCCTGCTTCAGTATACTTTGTTGATGGAGGTTTGGTAACAATCTTCTCATGCAAGTATAAACCTTTTCACCTTCCCTTCTGCACCTGAGGAAAGCAGCTTTAAAGAACAGATAGGTTTTGAGATGGTGTGTCCTGAGAGAGAGAGAAGATAATTGAGAATTTGTGGACTTTGTTTTCAGCATGAGTTTCCAGGCTTGCATATCCTATATCTCTGTTGCTTATTGCTGTTCTTCAGGTATTTGCTACTTCTTTCAGTTAAACCTCAATTACTGTATTTAGCAAATTGGCTGTTTTGCTGAACTGACAGATCCTGGCCTAAAAAAAAAAAAAACCCAAACACTTAAGCCTTCCAAAAATTTGATTAACGGCTTTGCAGAAGTTTAGAAGCTTATTCTCATTAGTACTGCAGTGTTTGGGATTACAACTGCAGGCTCTAAGGACCAATGTAATGTATCTCTGTAACTTTTTACATGGGAAAATAGATTTCTATCCTGAAGTCTCTCCTATTAAAAGCAACTGAATTATGTTTTGTTTTTTTTAAAGTCCTTGCTTGACTTCAGCTGAACTGACAGTAAAAGGCAGCTGCACTTGCACTACTTTGTGTGTTCCACTAATGACTGATTTTTGTATGTAAAGTTAGCTAAAGGGGTGCTACACTCTGGCATTTTCAGTTGATTTTACCCAAAGTATGTTTGCATTTTACCTAAGTCCGTTTGGTCACTGTGACCAAACTTCATGTAGCTTCTATTCCCTAGGTTCAAAAATGTCACATACTTGAACTAAAGACCTTAATTCCTGCAGAATTGTGAATCCAGTACAGGGCAACAGCAGCCACTATCCTCTACATGCGTACATGCGTAAATTGTGTACAGAGATACAACTTGAAGTATCTAGGTAAAATGAAAGTATTTTTCTATCCATGTTCTTTTCACCTTATCTTGTAAAGAAAAAAATTGTAAGATATCCAGAATAAAGTTTAAATTTTTTCAGAATAAAATTTAAATTGTTAAAACTCTTTTTAACATCTGGTAATCACCTTTTGTGAACTCTGCCACCAGATGGTGTCATAAGATTTGAGGTGTTATCTGACTCAAGCTGATTCTAGCAAAGTAAGTGGATACTATATCTTACAAGTAGCTTGTTTTGTTTTTATAAAACTGTGTTTTATATTTCTAATGTAAGGTTTTTGAGTTTCTTTTATTAAGTCCTAGACTATTTTACATTTGGATCCTATTGTGGTAGAGCTGCATGTGTTCAGCCCTGGGACAAACTACAGAGATATGACAATTTAGGCAGAGCCCTGTATTTCTATTACCTGGTCATTAATTACTACTATCTTAATGTTTGAGATCCTTAACTTGATTTTTTCTTGGTATGAAAGCTCTTTATATTGAATAGTGACTTGAGTATCTTGGTTTGAATGCTTCAAAACACCCTCCAGTGATTCTTCATACTCTGTAATGACACTATAAATAGAAGAAGCCCAATTACTTGCTGAATGCTCTCCCTGTTTGTTCTCTTGTGTCTATACAGATCTTTCTTAGGGAGTCTGAGTTATTTTGACAAGGTCAGGTACCTGTTTCTGTGGAACTGCAATAGATAGGATGTATAGAGTAATCTGTTTTGGTGTGGCTTTTGAGTCCTTGTCCTTAACTTATCAGTGAAAGAGATGGCATATGAATACCCGGGAAGGATACAATGAGATTAAATAGCCTAGGAAGGGGGAAAAAAAGATACAACTTAATGTTACAGAAATAAAGTGTAAAATTAAGTGTTGGATATTTCTATCATTCATATAAGGGTCTGTAAAGTGAAGACCCTTTATAAAGTGACTCAAGGTCACCAGAATAAGCTAATGTGAATTCTTTTGAGAGTCACAGTAACATTTAAATTTTTAGATATTTAAACCTAAAATTTAATTGGGTTGTTTTGCCCACATGTTGTGGATCGCTATGTTGCTTTTTAGTAAGACTTTGTCTCAGTCACTATCAATTGTGTTTGAGGCTGTAACAGTAGTAGGGATACACAGGTAACTCCCTTCTCCTAAGGGTGCTAATAGGGGTGTTAGCCAAAGTACTACGTCCGGTTTTGAACAATCCTTTTAGAGTGCTTTGGGCAGCTTGGAAAGGGAAATGGCTATTTCAATAAGCCCAGGAAATGTGATGTTTGACGAAAATATCTGAAGAAAACAAAACTTGCATATGCCTTAAACCTAGTAGGGAGTATGGGAGAAAACAGAAGCTTTCCAGCTTGTGGAATTTCCAGGTATGTGGATTTTAGGTGTTCTAAGTGACAGCATACAGTAATAATGCTGAACAGTTCTTCATTCCAGTTTGGCAAGAATATATTCCTGAATCTTCAGGTGTGTGAAAAGCTCTCATGAATAAGAAAGAAATAAGGCATTTAGTTTCACTAGAGAGAAATTATCACCTTGATTTACAGCAAGGAAAACTTACTTTGTATATTAAGAGATTATTACCATTGCTTATGTATAGGACTTGGAAAGATGCAATTTGGTTGCGGGTTAAAGTGTATATGTTCTTCTGGTCTGTGCCCTGTTCTTAGACTTACATGAAATAAAAATAGAAGTCAGTGAAAACTCTGTGTTCCTGCCAGGTGTTCTGTGCCTGTGCAGGTCTGTTTAAGATATTTCTCTGTGGTGTCCTTATCTCCTGCAGACTTTCCCTGTATGTTGTAAAAATCCCAGTCATACTTATGAGATAGCACTCTGTTTCTGCTAGATGTTTTCTAGGCCACATAGTGAAGTAAATTTTATTGCTTTAAACAGGAGCTTAAAGAACTTTGATCTGTGAAATAACTTTTCTTTCCTGGCTTAATGTCAAAACAGTTAAGCACTTGTCTGCCCAGTTATACCATTTGCTGTCTAGTGGTGCTGTTTCAGTGCTCAGGGGTCTAGACTACCCCTTAGACTGTCACATGGATAAAATTAAATCTGGAAAGCAGGGAGAAATTTACCTTAAAAGCTTTACTTCTGGTATAAGTATTTGAACTTCTGGAGTGTAATATAGTTTTCTCCTTTGCCCTGTAAAAATAAGAAACCAACTACAAAGTAGTTAGTGGCTGACAGTGTGCTGGGGGAGAATCATGCTGTTAGTCATGACTTACTAAAGTTAAGTCCTTAAGTTTTTGTTTGTTGCCTGTGTTAGGATGCACAGATCAACATCTCAGAAGGAAAGTTAGTGCCCAGAAGGAGAGTTAAGGTAATTAATAGAAGTTATTGTCTAGTGGGGACGTGTGGTAAATTCAGATGCTTGAGGGGCAATGAATCTTGGAAGAGAAGATAGTCTGTGAATGATAGTGCTTTATTCCATGTAAATTTTGCTGGAGGTGATGAAATTGGAGCACAGGGCTCAGTATTATTATTACTATTCTACAGTTCAGCTGGGGTGTGCAGCTGGTTGCTGCAGGACAGAAGTCACTGAGGCACTAGGAATGACATCTCTGCAAGGAGCTGAGCATGTTGCTGCAGAACATTCTGCACAGTGAATTTGTAGCCTCCTGTTCTTCTCAAGTGTTGAGTTTCCACTGCTCTCTGTAGGGACATGCAGCACTTAGGCAGGCCTTTAGACAGGCCAGCGCTGCTGATCTCTTTGAAGCCTTCTGAGGATTTCTAGGCAGCTGGAATGCCGGGCTGCACACCCCACTCCATGGCACTTGTGGCTTTATATAGTCAGAGTGTTCAGCCACTAATCTGTAGCAGATTTAATCTTGATGTACATTTTTAATGTATGTTATCCGGTAAGGTTGAATAACTGTGGACAAATGGATGTTCTACCAGGAAGTAGTCTAATGCCTAATTTTCTTTGTAGACTATTTTTATTTGTGAGAAGGGCTCTCTAAAGTCTCTGTAGCAGGCTTTCTTAATTTAATTAAAGCTCTGTGGTATTTCTAAGCTCTATACAGGTGCAGACTATTGGCAAGTTGTGTTTACATCACCCAGTTGTAAAGCACATCCCTTCCTTTTAAAACAAACAAATAATAAATGACCCATTGAACGGTTACAACAACTTTCTATTTTGAGGGAATGTAATATCTCCTTTGTTTCAAAGGCTTTGCATTCTGCTCTTAACGTCTTCTTCTGTAACA